CTCAATGAGGAATCCAGGAGAAGGAGAGCGGCTTACTCAAGGTCACACAACCAGGAAGTGGCAGAACCAGGATTTGGACCCTGGTCTGCCTGACGGTAAGCCTAGAGCATTCTCCATGGCTGGAGCCTGGGATGTGAATGATGGCTGCCTTTTCCCTTCCCCCCAACACCCTCTGCTAACTAGATTTTTCCTCTTGGGGGCCCGCCCCAGGGGGGACTCATGAGTCAGGAGGCCGAGCCTCGGAGAGGAAGGCGCCAGAGGAAGGCAGGAGGCTCTGACACAGCTGAGCCTCTGAATGTCCTCTCCCGAGCCCAGATGGCCCTGGTGGTGTCGGCCCTTGATGCCAGTGACCTGGTCTCACCTGTTTCGTGTTGTCCAGGGACAGCGGGGTGACCTGACCTGAGCCCATCCTTTTCTCTAGTCCTCTTGTAGCTCAGCCCCGGGCAGGTGGGCCACAGATGGGGGGCTTCTTATTGCTCAAGCCAACTGACAGCCTCTAGCTGGGGTTCTGGAAGCGCTGCAAGAACAATGGCTGCCCCAGGACCATGCTCCCAAGCCTCAAGTCTCTGTGGCGTCTTGGGCCCCTGGGAAGCTCAGTAGCACCGGATTCGGCAGGAAGCCCGGGGACAGCTCACCTGGCCATGTAATGCCCCAGCGTCCTACTCCTGGCTCCGGTCTTCTGGAGGCTGTCGGCCCCCCAGCTCCCAGCACCACTGTCCTCAATTTCTGATTCCTCTCCATCCTCTTCCCCCTCCTCTTCCTCTTCCTCCTCCTCCTCCTCCTCCTCGGCATTGCTGTCCCAGGCGACGGTCAGTGTCCGGAGAGAAACTAGAGGCTCCCCGGGGACCAGATCCGGCCTCGGTGAGGAGGAGCCCCAGCTGGCCCAGGAGATGCTGTTTCTCCGGAGCTCTTCCAGGGAACCCAGGTCCTTGGAGAATTCGGGGCCTGGGAGAGGCTCCGGACACCGGCTCCTACCCAGCCCACGGCCTGGCCCCTTCTTGGCCAAATAGCCAGAGGACCCAGCCTCCTCCAGGAGGGAGGAGCCGCCAGTGCTGGCCCAGCTTCCGTCTGAAGAATCGCAAGCAGGACAGCCTTCGGTCTGGACCCCTGCCTCTGAGTGCCCCGGGGTCTGGGGCTCCTGCTCCGGGAAACCGCGGGGCACAATGTAGGGCTGGACGGTGACACTGTCGTCTGCGTCGACGTCCTCCTCCTCGTCGTCCTCTGATTCAGCCTGAATGCTGGCTGGGGCCCTGATTCTAGGGGTCAGTCTTACCCTTCTGGTCAGTTCCTTTTGGGGACAGAGGGTCAAGTCCTCCAGGGACTCTGGGCCACTGGGCTGAAAGGTTGCCACGGGGTATCTGTGTCCAGAAAAGTCCTGATTTGGGGGAGGGGAGACAAGAGCAGAAGGTCAGGCTTTCCCGAAGCATGACTGCTCTAACCGGGATGGACCCCGAGACCAGGATGCCCATGGACATCGTTTCTCTGGGAAGAGATCCCAGGAAAGGCCAACAGGGAGTGGGCATATGAGACAGGGGTGGGGTAACACCCACTAAGATGGGTGCTATCAGGCAAGTGACATCTCAGGCAGCTGCAGCTTAACCCTGCTGGGACTCAGGCAGCCAGTGCAGTGCCATGAGGTGAGGGTGGGAGGGGTGGAGGCAGTGCCACCTCCCTGGCACTTGCAGCCTGCCACGTGCATGGGCTGGGTAGACACCAGAAGCGAGAGACAGCCCCCAGGATGCAGGTGCTAGCTGCTGGAAGGAACTTTAGAAATACTCCCTCCCTGCTCTGGCCGGCATGGCTCAGTGGTTAGAGCATTGGCTTGCACACCAGAGAGTCGCAGGTACGATTCCTGGTGAGGGCACGTACCTGGGTTGCAGGTTCGATCCCCACTCCAGTCAGGGCACATGTGGGAGGCAACCAATTGATGTGTCTCTCTCACGTCGATGTTTCTCTCTCTCTCTCTCTCTCTCTCTCTCTCTCCCCTCTCCCTCCCTTCCACTCTCTCTAAAAATCAATGGGAAAATATCCTTACTCCTCAGGTGAGGATTAAAAAAATAGTCTCTCCCACATGGGAGGGACACTCAGAATTCATCCCACCAGCCCAGGGCCCACTGAGCCTCACCTCTGGCTCAGCTTCCCGCATGAGTCCGACCCACCTGACCGCTCCAGGCTTCCCCTGCCTCCATGGCCTCCACATGCGAAGGGAGTGAGCCAGCAGACAGTGAGGGGACCCCAGGGTCAGCCTGGGCCAGACTCACCTGGGGTAGACTGTGAACTAGGCGTTGGGACCCTTCTAAGTCTTGCCCTTTTGATACCTTCCCGCCCCCACCTTTTTGGGCATCTCTCCTGAATCTCAAGGCTGGGGGTTCTGCTCTCAGCACCTGACAAATCCTGAGCAGAGATGCAATTACTTAACTCACAGGGACTGTAGGCACTTCTCCCTCCCAGGTGTTTGAATTTGGCGCCAAAGGAATGAATTACTAATCGTGGAAAGTTAGATACAAAGGAAGGATGTTCCGCAGTCTGGGCCATCCGTCTGAACGACCGCTAAGCCTAGCCCCACTCCCTTGCTCTTCAACAACCCTCCGCCTCAGGGGCACATCCCAGATTTGCCGCACCAGAGCCTGTGGCATCTTTGCCCGCTGAAACCAGGGGTTCCCTCTGAAGCTCCTCCAGATCACACAGCCCGTGGCGATAACCAACAGCAG